CCGAGTTGCCAACATTAAGTTCAGTGCCGACAACAAAGTAGAGGGGCTCACCTGGGTGGAAGACGCTCAGAAGGTCGCGGAATGCAAGAATTTGCTGGCCGACGTCGTGGTGTACGCCTTCAGGGTGATCTCCATTGTGGAGTTAGCCTCTCACGCGACGTCGGCGAAACAAGACCGAAAGAAGGCTCTCGCCAAGGCAGCGGATGTTGAGATGGCTGATGCCACTCGGGCCGGCCCCTCGATTCAATCGATGGTCGACCGAGCAGTCGCCGCTCGCCTTAAGCAGGTCGATAGGAAGCCGGGCCGTAAGAGTGTGGTGCGAACCCTCCCTTATCCCTCTTCTAAACTTTCACTGACTCCTTACTTAGAAACAAGTACAGGGTGGCAAGAAGTCACGGAGTTCGACCGGCAAGAAGATCACGACGGGGTCGGAGCATCCGCCTCCCCCCAAGTATATACCCAAGGCGCGTCGACGAGTACCCGACGCAACGAAGCCTGGGGGCAGTGGTCGCCCGAAGCCGAAGGACAAGGGCAAGGGAAGAGCAGGGAAGTAGTAGTCGCTGGGCGCACCCCGACTAATTTCAGGTATGACATTGCCGCTACGTATCCCGACTGGTTGCTCACAGTACCATATCCGGTAGCTTTAAATTTTGTACATTTACATACGCCTATTGATATTTTATTGGCGGCTCAGTATCGTAACTCAGTACATAAGTCACCGGGTGTCTCTATCCCGAAAGAAATTGAGATTCAGCTCTCAGTAGGTATGAAATATATGTTTTATACCCCCCGTAATACCGACTTAATTAAGTCAGCGTGGGAAGACTTCAAAGAACGTCTCCGTTGGAGGCTTTACTTTAGCTTTACTAAGAACAACTCAGACGACGATCTCTATGATCCTGACTTCGACATTCCCAAGTCTCGTGACGTACGGGCACCGAGGTCACCACAGTATATTGAAGCTGGCATCGCTGCGGGAGAGCGCTTCGTGTTTGACACGATCGCCAATATCCCAGCGGAATCGGACGGGCCTCTAACGGCGCTCGCCCCTAAACCGAGCCAGATTCAAAAATTCTTGGATCGTAACAATTACTTGGTTACGAACACAGACAAGAACCTGGGCATAGCTGTATCTACGCGCCAGTGGATTATAGAGAAGTCGCTCGATATCGTAAACGACAGTAGTAATTATACGCCGTTACATTTATTAATGATTAATGCGATATGCGATAAACAATGCACGGACATGGAAGAAATTGCGGGGCTAGCTGAAGCCTACCTTCCTAACGGATTCCAACTAGGGAAATATTTCCGGTCGAAGATTACTTCGCCAGGAGCACAACATGTGGTGCCTACATTTTACGGTATTCCTAAAATTCACAAGGAGCCTGTAAAAATGCGGCCAATTATACCATGCCACTCCGCCATCCAGAATCCGGCAGCTAAATACGTGTCTAAAATTCTTAAACCGATTGTCCAATCGGCGCCAACCATTTTACATGGATCTAAAGACTTGGCGATAAAATTAAGTCGAATTCAACTAGACCGAACCCGTAAAATTTACATTGTTACGGGTGACGTAGTCGCTTTTTATCCTAATATACCAATCCAAAGGTGTCTAGATGTAATTACCCATCTATACGGAGAATATTACGGTACAAAAGGCGACGAGGATTCTCTTAGACGAGAACAGATTTTCCTCAAATGTCTTTCGGTCGGTAATAAGAATTTGGTTCTACAGTATAATGATTTATTTTTTGAACAACGGAACGGCCTTGCAATGGGCGTTGCTGATTCGCCCGATCTTGCCAACCTTTATGGTTGGTATTTCGAGCGACAATTAGAATTTACCGCCAATGTACCTTTCTACGGAAGGTACATTGATGACTGTCTAGCCATTGTTTACGCTAATAACGAAAGAGAAGCATTAGCGCAGTTACAAACAGTGGCTTTCGACGGCTGTAGAATAGAGTGGGAAGCGAGTCCCTCACATCTCGCGTTCCTGGACATGACTGTATATATCGATGCTAATAACACGGTACAACACATGCCTTATCGGAAAGCTCGCTCCCACCAAGAAAGAATTCCATGGATTTCTCACCATCCCCTTGACGTTAAACGGGGTACGTTTATTGGAGAGATGTCCAGGTTAGCTGTGTTAAGTAGCAAACATGAGCACTACAAAGATGCTATTAAAAGTTTAAATGCTTTATACATCGCACGCGGCTACCCTGCGGATTACGTGTATAAATGGACGAAAGATAATATTACTAAACGATGGTCAGATCGATTGGGCGTAGCTGCCCAGCGGGGAGATGACAGCGGCGTTTTAGTACTTAAGTCCACATATAATACCGCGTGGAACTATTTCAAAGCGAAAGAACTCGGAGATATCATCCTGGGTACCTGGCGCGATCGAGTCGAAAGAATCGAGCGCCTCGGCACTGCGCCGAATAATATGTCGGTGATGTATGGAGACATACCACCATCGGAGGTAGACAACCGTCTGTTGATGGCTGTTGAAACCCCGGCAGGCCCTCGTGGCATGCTGGATATAAGAACAATAGGTATCCTAAACAGACGAACGATAGTTAGTAAAAAACGTACTAAAAATCTGTTCGACATGACCAGTCTTTGGAAAAAGATGGTTCTCCGTAAGTACGATGAAGATTCTCTATCTTCGGATCAAAACGTTCCACCTTCTGATTCGTCTGCTGCTGGCGACGATTCTGACAGAAGCAGCGTTGATCCGCAAGTCTTCATAGATATGGTTATGGGCACATCCTGATGCGACTCTGCTAGGTCTTCGGATCGACACAGCAGACTTGTGGACAGTGCGGTTTATCCCGGTTATAAATGCAGGACGGTCGCAAGTAGTTGGACTGTTATAAAAATCCGCCGGGGGTAACAGTTAAATCAAGTCGGGTACGTACCCACTTATAACCATAATGTACATTCTTCCGCTATATAAAA